ATGTTCCTCAGAAGCAGCAGGGACATAGGAGATGGTAAAAGATAGGGCAGGACCCTGGGAGTGGGCTCCTGGGTTCATAGAAAAAACCATCAGTGAGGAAGCTAGCAAGATCAGTACCATTTATAATACAGTCTAGTAATTTCCTGTGTTTGTCATCTGAAGATGCAGCCTGCATGTAGGAAGATGTAGGGGAAGGGGAACTCTTATCTAAACTGGTAAAGCCTAGGGACCTATGGTCTGGGACAGGCCAAGACCATTAGTTCTCACTGGACCATCAGGTCATTACCCGTATCCTTGGGAATGATTCCATGCAAGTACCTCAGCTTTGACAGTCAAGCAACAATAGCAAAGTCACATGCTATCTTCTTGGGGTCACTGATGAGATGCTCCATCCCTCAGATCATGGCTATAATACCAGGACCACCATGGCCAGGAACCAAGACTGCCCAGTGTTAGTTGCACCCAATTCAGTGCCCCTTCCAAGATAGAGGTCCTTATTGAATATGGATCTGATGCTGCAGGTTGCATTCTTTCTCATTCATTCCTCCCTCCTCTCCTCTATACATCCCTACCCTACACACCCTTGTCCCCAGTCTTCAGGCTCCTGACTGTTCATCAAGGCCACATATCTGCTACAGGCACATATTATCCTAACCTAGACTTGCTTCTTCTCTGCCACTTTAGATGACCACAGTTTTGTGGGCATTTTATATGTATGGGCCTGGTATACATTTCCAGTGTAATCATTTGATGTCCCCAGCATCCTTTGCTGCTAAGAATGGCCCATTCTTGCTCCAGAATACCAGGGCTGAAGTGCGACCTTCCTGCCATTCACCATAACCTACATGGCATCTTGTCCCTTTTCTTCCATGATCATCAACAGCAGTTTTTGGTCTGCCACCTTCATAGGGCCTGGGACCCTCTTCCTTAGAGACATCCAAAGAGCAAGGGCAGACTGTTACCCAGGGAACTTGCCAGGGAGTGAATTTGTGTCCTGGGAGAACCCCAAGTCCGTGATGTCATAAGCCCTCCAGCAGCCTCTGCGGATCCGTAATTCATGGATTGCTGGGACAGAGTAACTGACAAAAGCATTTTATGGAAGGAATTATTTGGCTCACAGCTGGTCAGTTGTGGCAGCAGGAACTTGAGGCAGCTAATCACATTGCATCTGCCATCAGGAAGTGGAGAGAAACGAATGTTGCTGCTTCAGTTCCTCTCTAGGACCCCAGTAAATAGAGTGATGCAACCCACATTTAATTAAGGTGGGTCCTTTGAAACTCCCTTACAGACTTGTCCAGGTTTGCCTCATGGTGATTCTAAATCCCATTGACAGTCAGTGTTAGCCAACATAAACCCAAGTTGACAAGCAATTAAAACTTTTGAGCTATAACCTTCCAGCCCATGTCTTCTGGCCATCTCATAATGCAAAATGTAGCTCTTATAGTCTTTTAGCAGTCCCAGCCCTTTAGAAGCCCAAGTCTAATCTGAAATTCAAGGTACTCTCTTACACTATAAAAGAACTTCATACTTCCAGTGTACAATAGTACAAAATAAATACATTCCAACAGGGAAGGGTGAAGGCATATGACTGAACTAAATTTAGTAGATCAAACACCAAATCCTTTATCTGTCCCACATCTGTCATCTGGGACTGATAATAGACTTGTATGGGCTACAAAAGGATCTTGAGGGATTACCTGACCCCCAAACTCTACTGCCTACAGCATATAAAGCTTCCTGATCCTGCCATCTCCCATCTCCTACATCCCAGAATCACTATTACAACTTAGAACTTCATATTCAGATCCATGGGGTAGCCTTTCAGCGCCTCGAATCCTGCCGAACATTGCTTGTCTATGGAACCATGGAACAGATTCCATGACTCTGTCTGTCTAGTATCTTTACACCTGCAAAGTCAAGTACTTTATGAACAATGGCACCAAGTTCTGCTTACTCCAGCCCTTGGCGGTTAGAGACTGGTCCCAGTGAACCAAAGTTTTAGCGTCACCTGTGCCTTAGCTGTATGGCAGCCACGAAAAGTACTTGAGGGTGCCATTTCCTTTTAACAGTTCAATCTGCCTTCTGTGTTATCTTTAAACTCACTCAGCATCCTTTTCTTTGTGAACATATATATTTTTTTTCGTGATGTTTCTGCTCTACCTCCTACTCTCTATGGACCTGGATGAGATCAGTGAGCAGTACCTTCACCACACACCAGAGTGCTGTCCTGTCTTGATATTTCCTCCACCAAACAGAGGGGTCCATTCTGTATTCAGCCTCACTCGGATTCTTAGCCTGTGAGGGGAATGCATACAGATTCTCAGTTCCCTATAGACTTTTTGTTCTTCAGTGAGGGAGCCAAGCCTCTACCATCCGTTTTCTCTCATCACTCTGGTCTTCTAAATTCTACCAGAATAACTAAGTCCTCTTTACAGCTTTCGAGGGATTTTCTGGCCCAAAGTCTAACCACATGATCAGTGTTATCACAGTATCAAAGCCACTCTTGATCCCCAGGCTTAATTTCCTGTATTAGTTATTTTCTGTATCGCTGGAACAAAACACATGACACACCAACTTAAGGACAGTTTGTTTCCAATCTCAGGTGAGGTGCTGTCCATCGTGTCAGGGGGAGCTTACCGGACCAGTCACATTGAGAGTAGAGAGCTCTCCTCGGTTTTATCCCCTGCAGGATCCCGTTCCAGGGATCATCTGACTCTACCTGACAGTAAACTAGCAAATCCCTCATAGACATTTGTTTCCATGGTGATTCTAAATCCCATCAAGATTAAAAATCACAGGTCATTCATTACCAATAAAGTCAGTTTTAGGTTCGTTGTTAGCAGATACTAAAATACATCATTTGAAAACAAATTTTATTTTTAATTTGGGCAATAAAGAATCCTTATCACTTACCTACTTAGCTGAAATTGAAAATCTGACAGTGCCATCTCCCTGCACTGTAGCTCTGTGTAGACAGGAGATGGAGCTGCGTGCAGAGGGCCCATCTGATAGAAGTATTGGACAATCTTAGACAGGCATATACTGCTCAGCAGGTGCTGTTTTAGAGCCCTTGAGCCAGATGCTGTCACTGTGGAGATCTCAAGAATTTGTCAGCCTTAGGCCAATGAGATGGCTCAGCAGGTGTGCCTGAGTGCTGTCGTGGGGGTTGCCATGTGGAAGAAGAAAACCAACTCCTGAAAGTTGTCCGCTGCTCTCAAAGCAATGCATTGCAGCATACATGTGTTCTCTCTCTTTCTTTCTCTGTCTCTGTCTCTGTCTCTCTCTCTCTCTCACACACACAACAAACATATACAACAAATAAATATAATTTTACAGTTTAAAGAATTCCCTAGCCTTGGAAATTTCCCCAAATGTCTTGAAGTCAGTCCATATGAATTCCAACTCTTTGGTGGGTAGTTTCCTTGGCAGATGAGTCCTGACCAGTAATTGTTCTTTGTCTCAACCTGGAATCTGATGGTATAGCTATTCTCAGCTGTGGCCACATCGCCCATATAGCCATGGCTAAAGACATTTCAGGACTCCACAGTTGAAGCCATGCTAGCCATTAGAAGTCAGTGGTGGCACTCCACATCCTCCAACACAGGACTGTACCCCAAACACTCGCTGAGCCCAGGATGTCCCCCAAACCTGCGGAGAGCCTGCCACACACAGGTTAATTCCTGCCTGTGAGCAGAGTATCTGACTAACGCCTCTTTAGCGAGTAACTGGATGCTGTTGAGGTGACTTGTATGACAGCTCTTGTTGAAAGTAACTGCTAAAGTGATATACTTTCTTTAGTGGCATTTGAATTTTCAGAGCCAGAGACAAGCCGGGGTGGGACAAGTGTGGCTTTTCCTACTTGGGGTGAGTAAGTTCTACCAGGAGTGTTAACTGAAGGAAAACCGTAGTCAGGAGAAAATGACCCACACTGACAAGCTGTGTGAGCCTTCCTCACTGTCCCACAGGGCCAGACACTTACCTGCCTACCTGCTGGTGGGTGTGGCATGAGCCTGGGAGTCTGTTGCTCTGCAGTCTGCCATCCCCCACCCTGCAGCAGACATCTATAGAGTACCTCGTGAGTACCTCGTGACACCTTGTCACTGTTCCATTGCAAGAATCCACACATATACACATACCTGTGTATTCAGGTTCAGTCACAGTACTTGACACTTTGGGTAGCCTTTGCTAAGGGGAACACCAAGGATGACCCAGGCTTAAACACTACCAGGTCCTGCTTGTGTGTATAGCGGAAGGTGTGTCAAGCCAAGGACTCATGTCAAACCCCAAGTTCACCCGCACAAGAACAGTCCTGACTATCTCTTTATATCTGGAAGTAGTGTGACCTGCCCTCCTTCCTCCCCACACCTTTAAAGCTTCCCATTTTAAGACCTTGCAGAATGGCAGGGTGAAGCTCGGTCTGTTTAGTCTGACCAAGGAAATAGTTTTTCTTAATGAGTTTTCTTGGTTGGTAGGGGTTGGAGTTATTGTGATTTGTTGGTTGTATCTTAAACAGACTTGGTGCTGTTTAAAGGATGCATTTGGATGCATTAGCAGCCTTGAATCAGTCTTGTCTCTCAACATCCTTGAAAAAAATTTAAAATGTCTCTCATTGTCCTGTACATCCCAAACATGTAAAATGAGGGGTGAAAACACAGACTATAAAAGACTGTACAGTAACAAGTGTGTGTTTTGCTAGGCAGGCCAGGAGAAGGGAGACAAGCCACCAAGACAGTGTATAGGCCAGAGGAAAGACAACTGTTCCGAACAGGAAACCCAAAGAAAAGAGATGGACACAGAAAGGAAGCAGTGTGGTGGGCTGGGAGCAGAAAGTGGCATGTATGAAGAGAGATGTGTTAGGAGATGGGGTAGGAGGCTCGTGAATTCAAGGCTGGCTCTGCATCTCCAAGTGGGGGAAGAGAGAATGATTGAGAACAGATGAAGACCACAGGAGAGCCAGGAAAGGAGTGCTCAGAAGACAGCCTCCCTAGGCTGCCAAGTTCATTAGTACCTGCTGCCTAGAGGACACAAGTGTGACTGGGGGTGTTGTCACCAAAGAAACTCAGTTTCAGAAAGAACATTCCTGGTGCACTGCAGCTCCTCCCACTGTGTGTGACTGGAGTGGGGGCAGGGCATTCCTTTCTCGTCTCCCTTAGGAGTATTCCTGTGAAGAAATTATCTTAACTACCAAACCAAGGTCAAATCAAGGTTTTTATGGGTCATCATTTCACCAACAGGGGCTGTCCTTTCAGAGAACGTCCCAGGCTTGTGAGCTTGTGCAGGACTGAGCACAAATGGCTGTGCACACTTTGGATGATGCACTCAAAACCTTGCAGACTCTTCAGAGGAGTGTGCATCACACACACACACTCACTCACTCACTCACTCACAGTATCTGTCGTGATCGAAGGACAGTGAGTCCGCTGTACACTTCATCTCCAGTGTGTGTTGGGCACTCTGAAAGACTCATACTCAGTGTGATCTAAAGGTTACATTTGATCACCAGAGGGCCTCTTCATAATTTTTGCCTCTGAAAGAGAGTCACCTAATGTGTGTTTTACTTGGGCCTGAGACGTTTACGATCAGGTCATCAGGACCATTGGGGTCTCCGCAAGATTATCTGCACAGGACAAGCCACAGTCTGGTCTTGTCACATCAGCTGCTATCCAGTACAGTCTGTTGGGCAAATCCTCTCTGTCTTAGCCTGCCTCGGCCACTGTGAGCCTGTCATTAGTGATGCCAGGTCCATAAGCCGGGATTTGAACAGTGGCCTGAAATCCACTTCTGTCCGTTTTAAAAACAAAGTTACATTCATTTTCTTCAGTCAGTTTTATAACTTTTAAAATGAATGACAGTAACAGAAGCACATATGACCAGAGTGTGGCTTCTAAGGTGTGACCCCTTTGGCAGTGACATGCCACTGTCTTCAGAACATTGTCTAGAGGGCATCTGCTGGCTGTATGTGGAATATAGGGAGTTTTATGTTAGGTTCAGTGATTCAGTTCCTTACTCTTGGTAGTGGCTCAAGTTGCATTTTAGATGAGTTCACTTGTGTGAAGAAGGAAGTTACACCAGCAACCTCAGACTTACCACAAAATGGCCTCTACTTCAGGTTTCCTCCAAGTCCGTGTGACTCTGAATTTCATCATGAAAAAAGCTTTTTTTTTTTTTTTTTTTTTTTTTTTTTTTTTAACTGGCCCACAGTGTTACTCTCTCCATCCACCCATTTGGTCATGGCTTGTCTATGTTCCATTCTTAGCAGCCACTAGAGGAAATGAGGCAGATTCTGACATCTTCAAAAATCTATCCTCACCTGAAATTTTCTGAGGGCTGAATTTCCAAGACATCCTCTCAGCCCACCTCCCCTCGTGTTTCACATCCTGTCAACTCTTTCTCCCTTCAGGCAAATGAAATGCTGCTCAGTGGGCGGAAGCTAACGGCACAGGAGGCGTGCGGCAAGGGCCTGGTCTCCCAGGTGTTTTGGCCAGGGACCTTCACCCAGGAAGTCATGGTTCGCATCAAGGAGCTGGTCTCATGTAACCCAGTTGTACGTCAAAGTGTATTGTTCTGTTTTTTAAAAAATGATGAACAAAACCCTTTCCCTCCATGTAGATAAGAGTCATGCCGTGTTCCAGATCTTTTCAGCTGGTCTTCCCTGCGGAAGTGGACACCAGCCTGACATTTAGTACTTCAGATACCTATTGCAGGGCTACTACGCCCAGTGTTAGCCCTTTCTTACTGTCTGCAAAGTCCCTTCATGCAGGCACATGCTTGGGTACACATAGGTGTAGGCTTGGTTTTTTTGTTCAGTAGATGTGCTGAGTGATGAGCCTTCTAATGTGTGCAGACATAGGAGCAGCCATCATAGTGGAAACCAAGCTGTGCTCTCTTTATGAAATCGCATCCGAAAGCGCTTTAGGGACTTTCACGGAGCCTCCGTAGCGTGGATGTCCACTCCAGCTCCACACCATCCCCCAGTGGTAGCAGTGAATGCACAGCTGCTCTGTAGGTGTTCTGGGTCAGCGCAACAAACCACTTCCCTTGGAAATCATGAGCCATTTCAGGGTCCCGATTCCAGTGTTAAGTATCCTGACATCCCTCTGTGCCCGATCCATCCCTCCACCATGGTTAGCAGGATCTGCATACAGGTGCTGAAGTCCCTTACACAGCGTGGCCTGCTTACACTCTACGTGCGCCTCTGCGTGCACTTCCGAGTTGTCTCTGTAGATGGTGCCTGGTGCAGCGTAGTGCTGTGTGAGCAAAGGCTGCGCTAGATTTTGAGATGGGAAATAGTGTGTGCATAGGCAGTATAAACATTGTTGTTTTTTTTTTTTTTTCCTGCATATTTTCAGTCCAGGGATGTGGAACTCACGGATACAGAGGGCTAAGTGTACTAAGCTGTGACAGAACTGATAGGTAAAGATAAGTGACCAACCTCCTGTTTGTCACTGCTGCAGGTGCTGGAGGAATCCAAAGCCCTGGTGCGCTGCAACATGAAGATGGAGCTGGAGCAGGCCAACGAGAGAGAGTGCGAAGTGCTGAAGAAGATCTGGGGCTCTGCTCAGGGAATGGACTCCATGTTAAAGTACTTGCAGAGGAAAATCGATGAGTTTTGATTGGCAGGCTGACCGGGTGGCTCCCAGTACCACAGTCCTCCTCAACAGTAGCTCATGCTTGAAAGCAGGACTGGAAACATCCAAGCTATTTATTTCGAGGAGTTTTTAAGTACTGTAACTTTAAAATAACTACAAAGCTTCTTTGTCCAAACGTCTTTATTTTATACTCATGTATACACAAGTTAAAAATGTAATTGAGCACTAGGCTGCTCTTGGAAGCTCTAATTTTCCTGTAAACTAGTTGTGGGGTTTTTTGTTGTTGTTATTGTTGTTGTTGTTGTTGTTGTTTTTAAAAGGTAATATGTTTTCATTTTGGGTGACAGAAGAGCTTGGAATAATGTTTGTTTTACTCTTTTTTTTTTTTTTTTTTTTTTTTTTTTTTTTTTTTTTTTTTTTTTTAATCTAGATTACAAACCCTAAAGAGTTACTAGCCAGCCTCAGCTTCTTCCCTCTGCTGAAACAGATGCGGAAATGTCTGAAACATGTTCCCGCATCTAGGGGGAGGGGGATGTGTAAGTACCTCAATGCTGAAAACAAGACCAACCTTGTAGGCAAAGCTTCGCTGATGGGAAATCCCACATGGGCTGTGGGTTCATGCTGAGATGCCCTCAGATTCTCCCTTTCTGAACACGCCCCCTTTCTTACCCAGCTAGCATGAGGAAGTCAGTGTCTCTGGAGAAAGCGGATGAGTCACTCTGGAGCTCAAGTGTTACTTGCTAAGTTATGAATTAGCATTAATGAGTTTAAATAATTTTTTCTGACCCTTTTGGAAAATAACTACATAAGTGCTTCTTGTGGCTGGGTGAGAAATACTACTTTGCATAATTTTGTTTGTCTATCTGCAGATATGATTGATGTATTACACCAAAAAAAGTATTTTTTATGTTTATAAAGTGTAATTTTTAGGTTCACTTAGAATATATTTTATTTAATTTAAAATTCTCTTGGCACACTATTAAGTACAGAAACTCCTTTCAAAACAGAGAAGAACTACCTTCTATTTGACATTTATTGTTCGTGGTCTCTGCTTTTATGCCAGCCGTATACTGCACACACACGGTATCGTGTTCACGAGTACCCCGTGGTGTGGGGACTGGTTCCTGACTACGGGCGCCTATTACTCCTTAGGCTTCTAGACTTGCAATCATATTGAATGTATGAAGACTGAAATAAAATCGAAACCTTATTTTTGTACAGTTTTGAAGTTTATACTCAGAACTGACGCCTCCACAGCCGTGTGGAGTGCTGTGCAGTGTGTAAATCTGTCTTTACCTTGGATGGATTGGTACAGTATTTTTGCATCTGGGACCTACTCTTTTGTTCAGTAGTTTGAACTATATATAAACTGTACACTCTGTAAAGTTTTTATAGAATAAATATTCAGCTGTGAAAACTGGTTAAATAAAACTAATATTTCTTAACACACTGGGAATGTTTCTGGATGTATTCTTCCTTGCCAGGTTTCCTGGGAGGATCTGGGTTTTTCTGTGAGGTTCACAAATGTACATAGATGTTGGGGTTTGCCCTCAGAGGCTGCGGCCCACTGTCCACCACCACTGCTTCTTACCCTCTGGTAATTGTGTGTCTTCTCCAAAGGGGATTCTCCAAATTGGCACCCACAAAAGTGACTTTAAAAGGGTCCTGGGACCGACTGGCTAGGTCTGTCACTGCCTCTCCTGGGCCCTGCTCCGTGAGCCCCCTGGTGGCTTCTCTTTACTGTATTCATTCATCACCAACTTGCCCTAGCCCATGACTTTCCTGCCCCAAGGTGTGAATCACCTAAAGCTTATGAGAAAGCATCAGGTTTGTGCTCTAAAAATGTGTGGGAAGGTGTTCCTGATAGAGACCTTTTGCAAGGGATAAAGACATGCCAGGGAGAGTCAAGAGGAAGGGGAACACTTGTCTTCCAAGTTATTGTAAGAAAAGTGGGGCCCCAGAGCATTGACATCATCATTGCCCAGCCTGGTGGATGCCAGTCCCCAAGGGAAAGTATCCTTTGCGCTCCTCTTGCCTGCGGAGGTGAAAACTGCTTCCGCTCAGGTATGAATCGTCTGTTTGGCTTTACCGTAACTACACAGAGCTAGCTGACCAGGCATCTGGGAACCTTGGCCCAATAAAGTCAGTCAGCTTGTCTGTACTCCAACCTGGGGGAAGAACAGCCCTTCTTGATGTCCTCTGAACATATAAAACCCAGTAGGGGCAGAGCATACACAGGCCGAGTGGGTTGAAGCAGGGTTGGGCTCAAAATTAAAAACTGAAGAAAAGCATTGAACTTCTTCATAAGAAAATCGTGGTGGTCTGTCCACAGCTTTTTCTGCTTCATTGGGTGCTGCGCCAGGCAAGCATTTAAAAATGGCCTTTACTAAGTTACTTAACCAATCCCACCCCGGAGGCCTGTCCCTGTCCCTGTTCTTTTAGTCGTGTTCTAAACAGTCTCTGCAAGATCTAACAAGTGACTGCTTTAGTGAAAGAGCACTGGATGATTTTAATATGGACTTAAAACTTAACTTCTTGGCCAGCCTGTGATTCAGGGATCCAACCTAAGAGGAGAAAAGCATAAATGACCACAAAAAAAATGGGGATTCGTGTTCCCAGAGATGTCCCTGGGCCTGCCTCTGTCCTTCAGCTCCAGCCCCCGGGGTGCAAGGAGCGCTGCCAAAGTGAAGGTCTGCCAGGGCCCCATGCTAGGGAGCACGCTGACCACGGCGTGTGTGAAGACAACTTGGTTGAGTTAGATCTTTTCTAAGTGGCCAGTCTTGTGCTGCAAACTCTCAGTGAGCCTTTCTCACTGGCCCACCATCCCAACTTTAATGACCAAGCTCCAGGCTCCGTTACAATGAGGTAACTTTTGCCTTCTTACATGAACTCTTGCCACTCGCTGTCTCAAGCTCATGAATGGATGTCATCTGGGGTGCACGCCTCTCCCAGGTCCCCTGGGCTGACACAATTGCAGTACCTAAAGCAGAAACCAACCATTTGCTTGAGTAGTAAGTGAGGGCATCATTCCATGTTCAGAGAATACACACCAAGCCCTGGCCTTTCTTATCACTCCTATCTCTGGTGTATATGACTGACTACGAGAAACCTAACTTTCCACATAAATCTCTACCGTGTTTTAATCTTCACAAACTGTTAAATTAACTAATTGTTAACACATATCCACTCGTCGATGGGGTATCTGGTCCCTTCCTATGTCAGGAAGCATAAGTCAGATTCTCAAAGTGTAACTTGTTTGAATGAGTGGAATCTGATGCCACCACTTAAAAGCTGATTCCACTCTAGGCATGATGGTTCACGCCTTTAACAGCAACACTCGGGAGGCAGAGGCAGGTGGATCTCTGTGAGTTCGAGGCCTGCCTGGTCTATGGAGCAAGTTCCAGGACAGCCAGGCCTATTACATAGAGAAACCCTGTCTCAAGAAGTAATAGTAACATTAGTAATAATCGGATTCCATCCTAAAATTCACAGCTTCACTGTTATTTCTCAAGGTGGCCTATGGTTAAAGGGACACCCAGGCTCAAGCTATGTACCCTAGGCTGCCCTGAAACTCCATCCTCATGCTTCCACATCCCATGTGCTGGAATTACAGGTGTGTGCCTCCACATCATGGTTTTAGGTTTTACCATGAGGCCTCTGATTTCTGGGGGGAGGGGCTTGCAGTGTTCTGCTTCAAGCTCAGCTGAACTTTCCTTCCCTGGCCAGACTGGTGGATGCCATGAATCCACCAGCACTGAGGAGAGGATTGAGCCAAGTGCCGGCATGAGGACCTGTTTGTGGCCTCCGGTCCCTTCACCAAAGACCCCCAGCAGCCCACTGCCTCCAACACCACAGCAGAGGACTAAAGAGGTCACCTGTGCAGCAGGCTTCCAGTCTCTTCCTAGAAGGGCTGTGGACTCTGCCATTGCTGGCCCACACTTAGACTACCACCCGAATGTTGCCTCCTTCACCAGGTGCCGTTGGGGTATTTATAAAAAGAAAAGGCGACCCTCATATCGCACTGTAAGTTTTGCTAATAGCAACCCGTTGTGGCAGTCACCACCTGTTTGTTCGGTTTGGTTTTTTTCCTTTTTGTTACTAGAGATATTCTATGAAGCTTTAAATAATAAGGTTTGCACAAACAGTGTTTGGAGGAAAAATTATCATAATGTTTATTTCACAAGAGGATGTAATTAACGTTCCCAAAAATAAGATCCTCTGGTCTGTACTGAGGATCATCAGACATGATGCACCCCCTTCTCTCGAGCGCACACACACACACGGGGCTACTCCACACTTGGGAGACGCTGTCCTGCCTGCAGCCTGCCTCCGTTTGGAGAGTGACATTTAGCCTAATTAGAGAACAGATTTGAATCAGTCCGTAGCAGACCACCAGGGCGCCCAGCCTCACTGAAAGGTAACATCACAGGCATTTAACGTAGGCAACTGGACAAGTTTCAGTAGACGTGGACTCCAGCAAATAACAGAATGAAGTGACTTCACACGTGCCTTGTAAAGATACTTCCAAAGGCTTTCCTGTACATCTTGGATGCCCTTTTCTTTGGACCTTTTCCAGGCTCTCCCACCCCAAGCAGAAAGGCTTCAGGTCTCAATCTGTAGACTACTCACAACAGGCTTCCAGACTGAACAGGCACTTTTCTTTAGAAGGTGCTTCTAGCAGGGTGTGGTGGTGCATGCCTTTAATCCCAGCATTCGGGAGGCAGAGGCCAGCCTGGGAGTTCCAGACAAACGTGGTTTACAAAGAGAGTTCCAGGACAGCCAGGGCTGTTACCCAGAGAAACCTTGTTTGCCTTATATTGTATGCTTCAAATTCTCATCTCGGAGAGAGAGGGAGGGTAGAAGAGCAGGTGCCGTTCCTTCTTGGGATACTATGCCCTAGCTTTGAGTACCTTAGGGCTCTACCCTCACATGCCAGCACTTGCCCTGCCCCCCCCACACACGCACACACACAAGTTCTATGGTACTCGTTTTTACATTTCTTTCGTCCAGGAAAGGCAGGCTCTGTACAGTCTATGGTCAATACCAAACACTGGGTGCCAGAGGTGTGGTGTGTGAAGCCGTTTGGCACAGCCTTGCGCCTCTCCCATGCACCACAGAGCGGCAGGAGGCTGCGGGGATCCTTGCCAGAGCTGCTTCTGCTTCCTCGTGCTCTGCTCACAGGGTCTTGCTCGCCAGCTCTGTCCCATACCCTACCACTATGTGGAATGCAGCTGGAGCTGCAGACTCATCCATGTTTTCCTTCTGTCCTCATCACCATCTCTCTGAGCTGGCTCTTCCCAAAGATGCCACCCTTCCACTCTTCAGGTCCCACACCACTGGGATGCCAGTGGATCTGAGAATAGCACATGCCTGCCTCAGACCCATTATTCCCAGTTCAGGACTGATGTTCAAACGTCAGGAAATGATGAGACTCATCCCACATACACCCTAGGGAAATGATGTGGACAGTACAGGCATTGTACAGAAGAGAAGACCGAGTCTGAAAAAAATCAAAACAAAACAATAACACTGCTTCATTTTAGTGCCTCAAAATAGGCACCAAAATACTGGTGCTTACTGGGTCAATGTGGGTTTTAAACCTTTTATAGGAGGCTGGGCCTGGGAGGAGAGTTGTAATCCCAGCTACTCACAGGTTGATACATGTAGATCACAAATTCAGGTCCTAACCTGGTCTATCCACTAAGTTTCAAGGCCAAGATGGACAACTTTGAAAGATCCTGTTTCCTAATATATAAAGAATGTAAATTAGATTGAAGGACTTTATTCCATATGTATGGAAATGCTGCAAGGTAACTAGTTACTCTGTGAAATTACTATATGCTAATAAAAATAAAGACAAGCAAAAAATTAAATATTAAATTTGTGAATAAGAAGGAAGAGCTGCTCTAACATACCCGCCTAGCAATATAAGGTCCTAAATTCAGTCCCCAGTATACATTATTTAAATAAATAAAACTCCACTGGAGAAGGATGCTGACTTGGAAGGCACTAACCCAAAAGAAAAATATCACAAATTGGATGACAGTAAGGTTAAGAAATACCCATCATCGTTGGGAAGGAAGTCTCCTGTAATCAGTGTCTGTGCACTGGAAGAAATACCTCAGATAAATCCACGGGCAAAGAAGAAGGGATTAGTCTGGGTTCAGAGGTCCCCATCCATGCTAACTGCCCCTGCTGCTTTGGTCCTGTCTGAGGCGACACACAACAGCAGAGCAGAACCACTAGCTATGGCCAAGGAATGAGAGAGGAAGAGAAGCCAGGGCCCACCTCCTTAAAGGGAATGCACTCTATGACCTAAAGACTTCATGCTCCGCCTCTAAGGGTGACATCATCCTGCAATAGCACCAAGCCTTTAACACCTAAGCCTTTTGGGGGACAGTTAGGACTCAAAAATGCAAAAGACAATGGGGAAATGTGTTTGTAATTTAT